CTAAAAAAGGAAAGAAAAGCCTAATAATCGTACAAGATGAATTTGTCTCTAAAGAAGGGAGGTATCTTTTTTATTTTTTAAAACGAGAGGAAATGTCTTATTTGTAATGGTCAGTCATGTAAGTGTATTTACAATTTTCATTTTCAAGTAGTGAAGATGTTGAACACTTGTATTGAAGTTACCATATTATTGCCCTGGAATCAATAATAATTGAATATCACGTCAAGTAAGAAGCATTTTTGTTTGAAGCTTACTACAATTCAATTATTTCAATAATATTTTATCTTTTTTCCTTCAATATGTAATAAATATTACAAAATTTTTGTCATGTAGGAATTTCGTGTTATTAATTTTCTATTAATTAACGTTCACATTAATTTAGATTCAATGAATCTTAACTTGATGAATTTTGATTTACATGAATTTAAAGTTGTTATAATTTCTTTCTATTCATTTATCTCGAAATTTTAATGGATGTTTAAATTTATGTATTAACAATTAATTCTTATGTATCAAATGTAGTATAAAAATGTTTTTCATTTATAGTATTTCATCATCACAAAAAAATTGAATTATAAAAGCCGAGTTTAAGAGTACAATTTTATTATATTAATTTTTCATCCTAAAATTTATTTTCTTTAATTTGTTTGATGCTCATTAAATCCTCTTAACAAACTGGTATCAAATATTACTTTTACAACATTTATAAAGAATTTCAGAATAAATATATATAATTTAAATTCATAAAGCAATTTTTTTTTCACTAATTCCATTTAATGCAGCAGGATGTGACGTCTCACCTCCAAAGTAATCACTTTGGATGAAGCATTCAAAGACTTCGCCAAGGGACAAGGAAACAATAAATCACAATGAAAGTTTAGTCGAATATGAATATATAGGTATTCTCTTTTGATTCATCGTGATTAGTGATTTTTGAGTAAAAAGTTTCATTGATGATCGAACTTCATACTTTGTCACGTTAAGGTCACTAGACCATCAGATTCCTCTGCAAGGCCATAGAACTTACAACCGTTTTCCTCCATCCATCATTGATAACACTTTCGTTTGGAGGCCGTCCCAAGTGGTTGGACAGAAAGCAAATGTGGCAGTGAACTGCGTTTGTTGTTTTTCTTTTAAAACACGATTTACTTCCAAATAAAGCAAGACTCACCATCCCAACACGATTCATTCACATTTCATTCTCCCCCAAATTCAAATTCCCTCGAACCTTAGATCACGACGAGAAGAAATTGTAATCTAAAATCCACCATCTCCAACATCATTCTCAAAACCAAGTGACCTTCAATTTCGATTTTCACCCATGGATGGAGGAGACAGAGGCGAAGCCCGCTCTTTATTTGAGTTATATGATTTCAAAAAATCATCGATGCATAATTGCAATAATATGTCCCAAATAGATGCAATAATATAACATGTTCCTATAGTTGCCTTGTATCTGTTTGCACTAATTATGCCCAAAAAACTATTTGGTTAGATGGTAGACTGAATTTTTCCAAATTGCTCATCTTAGATATTAACTAACACTAAGTAAGGATTTTTCCTTTTGTTTCGTGCGAATTAGTCGCTAACAATTAAAAAATGGATCAGACGATTGTGTAAGGGACAAACCTCTTGAGACAAAGTCCCAAAAAGGAGCGTTTTCATTGGCGATGACTTTACAATTGGAAAATCAAAACAGAATGCCTCCAAGGGGCGCAAGCACACAAGTTACTGTTAAAGAAATGTTTAAATCTAAACTAAGAAATTTAAAGTTACATGTTCTCTGTTCGAGAGTTCTTGATTCGGGGTCTTTGCTCTATGTCTTTTCTTCCTTTTATACTCCTTGGATGATCTCTTTGTGATCAATCGCCTAAAAACTGCTTGATCGTTCTATAACCGCTCACTTTTCTCGTAATGGCCAACTTGTCATGGAACTGCTTTTTCTAACTACTGTCATTACTCTTTTGTCGTTCAACCGTCTTCAATTGAATTCCTTGAATCGTGAAACGTGATAGGGCTGCTTAATAACTGCTTTGATAACTGCGCTTCTTGATAACCATAACACTTCAGGTTTGCTAAAACCTTGGACGACTCGAAGGTTTGGGCGACAATAGAGTAGCAACTCTGGACGACTGCATGTCATTCCATTCGCTCAAATCTTGGGCGACTTGCAAGCTTAGGCGATGGTGTTACCGCGTTCATGGGCCTCCCTATTTGGACCTTCATCCTAAATTGTCTGATTGGGCTTCGTTCTTTGGGCTATCTGATTTGGGGATCCTCTAATTGGGCTTCATTCCTTGGGTCGTTCAATTTGGGCTAAATTTTTATGTGTCAACAATTACTCCCTAATATGACAGAATTAATACCAATTTATTAAATTTTGCCATATTCACTTTTGTATTTCCAGCAACATTCGAAATTTCCAAGAATTTCAATCATTGTTTTCTTCCATAGCTTAAAAAGGTGCGACGTTTTGCAAACCCTTATAACCCCCAAATACGCCATTTCACTGCACCATTAAATCACGCCTCACTTTTTTCACGCTTCTTTCTCACAATTTTACTGTTCATCTCTTTGCTTCCTACTACGTAACTCTGAAAAACTCCATTTCGTCCCTAATGGCTACTTCACAATCTCAATCTGGCGACTCCTTTAGTTTTAAAGACTTTCAGAAACTCCTTAATCGTCCATACATAACTCCGAACTTTCTCGCACCTGCCAATGTCGAACTCAATGAGTTCTACTTAGGTCCTTTCTTCAACAATGCAGAGGCAGTCGAACAAGCGGCGGTGGGCCAGCTGTTTCCTTGTACTCAAGGCCCTCCATTTCTAAACTCTCTGCCGCTGAGACCACTTCGCGAAAGAGGTATTCGCACTTGGCCTAAATCTGATGTAGTTTTTCGTATGTGGCATGCTCGCCTTGTGGACCATGGTCCTACTAAGACACTTTTTGATAATGCTAGGATTTCTGATTTGTTAGAAATCTCTCTTCAACCCCTTACTTTTGATTCAGCACTTTTTTCGATCGCTTTAAGTTTTTGGGCGATACCATTTTTCCTGGTATCTTGGTTTCTGATGGCGCCCCAAAGTTTGGTAAAAACCTCACGGAGTCTTATTCAAGCTTGCAAACCCTTCATAACCATTCGAGTGCTGAGCCTTCCCATATTGAGCGAGTGGCCTTTCTTCTGGTTTGGCTTTGTAAATATATTTTGTGTGTGCCAAGCATAAAGCCCTCCCTGAGCTATTTACCCATAGCGCACGAATTGGCGCGTGATAGGCCTCTGAATTTATATTCTTTCTTTTTGGCTGCTCTCTATAAAGGCATGGCTTCTTTTCAATCTCAATTGAAGAATGGTGCATCTCCCACTGGCAGTGGACCTCTTTGGTTCACTCAAATGTGGTTGAGATCCTATTTTCCATCGTTTGGTGCTCCATCATTTTCTAGTCTTTCTGCTAGCTGCTATGGGCTAGCCATTGAGCCCCTGGCTCCTGTAAATATGTCTAGAAGGGACATTTTTTCATTCTTTTATTCTTTGGATTCAATCCCTTCTTTCTTTCCTTTTCCTCCATTTTTGACTCCAGACTATGTGCATCCTCCCTCCACTATAGACAGCGCGAGCACCTCTCTGCTCATTTGGATCCAGTTTTTAATCGAGAGGGAGTTATTTCATGATATTTTGACTGGGACCAATGCCAAGGCTGGGATAGAAATATATTCTCCCCAATTTTTTGCTCGCCAACTTGGTTTCGGCCAAACCTGGCCTGTTTCTCCTTTCTATTCAAGGAACTTGATAGACCGCTTCCATATTATTAATAAGGCGGAGGCAGAGGTTATAAATGCTCACAATCTTCTTTTGACGAGCCATTTTTCATTAGCCCCCTTCAATTCTAGCCGTGCCATCCATCCCCTTTTTGAACAGCTCTGGCTGTCAGTGAAGCGCAGATTGTTTGCAACTGATGCCAATCGTGCCTTTCATTCAGTGGACTAGCCAAGCATTTCTTCCCATCCTCCTGTTTTAGTACCCCTTTGTTCATCCGGAGTCCTTCTCTTCCTCGTCATGCTAAACAGTCTGCTCGTCTATCTTCTTCTCTCCCTGCCAAGCCTACTGCAGCCAAAAGTGCCCTGAGCCGCAAACGGCCAGCCTCAGCATCTCCCATTCTGGAGGATGATGTTGATGATGATGATGATACCCCTCTTATCATCAGGAGAAAGGTAATTAAATTGGTTTACTCACAAGCATACGTTTTCATACTTGAAACTTTTCTGTGTGCTGATAGTTTATTTGGACTTCTCAGAAAAGTTCAGCCTCTCCTTTGAAGGCCTTAGTGTCGGCAGCTCCTGCTCCATCATCCTTCGCTGAGGCTGCTTCATCCAAACCAATTGATGAAGGGACTACGCTTAAAGAGACATCTTCAGTCCCAGAATCCTCATCACAACCAGTGGATGAGCCACCTTCTTCCTAGGGCGTTGACCCCCCCAACATCGAAAAAGAAGGTAATTCAGTTTTTTGATACTTTACCTTTGCTTGTGCTATTGGTTTCTGATTTGTTGCTTTTGAGTTCTGCAAATGCTCCTATGAGTCTGCCCGTTGTGGCAACATCTTCTCGCTCAAACAAGGGGAAGTCCTCACGAATGGTGGAACCACAGGTGGCAGACTTGGCTGGGGATATGCCATCTTCCAAGATTATTGATGAAGTAATCTTTGCTTCACTTTTATTTCCATCTTGTTCGTTGTAGTGAGAATCTTCAATATTGACAATTTTCTTTGCAGGATGCTGATAAGATTGTGCGTTCCATCCAAAACTTGTTCGCTTCCTGGGGGCAAGTCAAGACATCTCGCCCTGCTCCATCTGGTCGTCCTGCTACTTCTTCAGAGGAAGATATGAAGTTCCTCAAGCAGTCGATATTT